TTCAAACCATGTTTTAATGAATTCAATTAAATTATCTGGAAAAATTGAAAACATTTTTGAATTTATACTAGTCTGTTTGGTCAACAATGCACAAGATATTCTGTATTGATTGTTGCTCGTTGATAGGACACATGCGAAAAAATGCAAATTACCTGTCTAAGAAGATAACTAGACATAATCTACTAGTCTGTTTTTTTTTAAATAAGTAGTATGTATGTCAATACCAAGGTGGATCCGATGCAGATGTGAGGGCACGGATTGGCAAAGCAAGGGTTGGATTTTTACAGTTGAAAAATATCTGGAAATCCAAACAACTTTCAACAAAAACCAAAATCAGGATTTTCAATACAAATGTCAAGACAGTTATTCTACTGTATGCAGCGGAAACATGGAGAACCACCAAAGCCATCATCCAGAAGATACAAGTGTTTATTAACAGTCGTCTACGCAAAATACTTCGGATTCGTTGGCCAGACACCATCAGCAACAGCCTACTGTGGGAGAGAACAAACCAGATTCCTACAGTGGAGGAGAAAATCAGGATGAAGCGGTGGAAGTGGATAGGACACGCACTACTAAAAGCACCTAACTGAATCATGAGACAAGCCCTCACATGAAACCCTCAAAGCAAAAGGAAAAGAGGAAGTCCAAGGAATACATTATGCCGAGAAATAGAGAAAGATATGAGAGGAATGAACAAACATTGGACAGAACTGGAAAGGGTAGCCCAACGACAGAGTTGGTTGGAGAAAACTAGTGGTTTGCCTATGCTCCATTGTGGGTAACAGGGGTAAGTAAGTAAGTAAGTATGTATATTTATACATACATAAATGAAACATTTCAAAAGTGTGGTAATAGATTAGGAGGAAACCTACAGTGAGTACAATGTTTATTGTAATCAAGTTATGTGTATAGGGTTATAGAGGTTGTTGAATTTTGAAATCACTAGTCGATCATTGTTAGACTACTATTAGAAACCTAGAAGGCCGTTTCGTCCTAATATGGGACTTATCAGTGTCAGTGCTCATCCACAACTCGTGCATCTCGCAGGATCCGAACCCAGGACCTACGGTCTTGCGCACGAACGCCTATCCTCTGGATTACTGGGCTAGCATCCGACGGTGTTGATGTCTAAAACTCTGATCAACCTACAGGTTTTGCACGACCTCACCCATGTGAGTCCTATACCAGGACGAAACGGCCGTCCAGTGCTTCCAGGTTTTAGATGGTGGTCTAATAATGATTGATTGATGATTTCGGTATTCAGCAAACACTAACCTCCATAACTCTAATTGAGAAGAGTTTTAGGGATTGTTTGGTTTCGTTGAAATCATGAACTGATCTATGTTAGACCATCATTGCGAAACCTTGAAACATTGGATGGCCATATGGTCCTAACATGGAACTCACCAGCACAATGGATGCATGACTCAGAGTGAGAGATAATCGAATGAAGGACTTTCGGTTTCAAGTGCTCACCAGTGATTAACTTTTTGAAGGGATTTCTGGGGAATCTAGTACAGTTCAACTACTTTGATTGTGAGACTGTTATCAACCCAATATGATGGATTATGGTCGCTTAATATTGTAGATTAATTGAAAGTTAGACATGATTATAGTTGGATTTTGACTTGCTGGGCAAGAGGTTGAACGTTCACATGGAATATCGAAGTTCTCCTGTTCGATTCTCACATTCAGATTTGTGATTGTGCAATGTTGAGGGGTCCTATACTAAAACCATCATTCAGTGCTTCCAGGTTTCCAATGATGGTTTAAAATTGATCAGTTTATAATTTAAAGAACAAGCTTAGAAGTACAGTTTCGTCCTAGAATGAGATTCATCATCATTGCTCATCTACCATCTCCACTTGTGGGAATCGTACAACACAGCAGCTTCGGTCTCGTGCACAAATTCTTAAACTCTAGACGATTGAGCTGTCATACAGCGGTGTTAATATCTACTTTTAATCCATCCAAGTGTTACGCTCGTCACTAAGTATGCTTGAGGCTATTACGAGTTTACCTTAGTCGATGTGAAAACCAAAATAAGGCATTTATCAAGCGAATTTTGGGGATCTAACATCCCCAACACCAAGATATTGCGCAACCTCACTTATTTTCTTCGGTAGGTAACTGATTACATCCAAGGCAGTTGAACTCCTCTAGTCATGACTTATCACATGATATCACTGAAACTCGACAATTTTCACAATTCTATGATGAAAAACTAGAATATTGAGCACAAAAATTTATTTTAATTAAACTTAGGAATATTTGAAGTGACTAAGTGTAGTTACATTTAAATGCAACTCAACAAAGAACGCATCAATGGTCTCATAATGAAACTTGATAGCTGATAATTATGAAAGACAGACAGTTGTCTATGAAACTAATGAGTTATGTTTAATGCCTGTTGTCTACAAAACATGCAGTGTGATTTATCAGTCGAACTAGTTACTGAGTAATTCTTCATTGATTTTCGCATTTGAATTTTCAACCATGAAATGTCAGTTCGAATCCTACAACGAGCAGGAGTCGTGTATGCGCATTGCCACTGATGAGTCCCATACCAGGACGAAACGGCTGTCATGCAGTGCTTCCAGGTTTCTAATGGTGGTATTCTAACAATGATTGATTGATGATTTACAAATGTGTAAAAACACAAACCTCCAAGGTTCTGCCCCAAAATATCGTAACAGTGCTTACTAGTGACTACCAGCTTCGTGAGAAAATTCTCGGAGTTCTAGTTGACAAGATGTGACCAATGGAGTTCAACCCTGTCGAGAGTCGGCAGTAACTACCAGAGACAAATGGGTGAGGTCACGCAAAATCCCTAGATCACTCAGAGTTGGACATTAACACCGTTGCATGCCGGCCCAGTGGTCCGATGTTTAGACGCTCCCGCACAATACCGAAGGTCCCTGGTTCGAATCCTGCGAGGATCAGGAATCGTGGATGCGCACTGCTGATGAGTAGTCCCATACCAGGCCGAAACGGCCGTCCAGTGCTCCCAGGTTTCTGATGGTGGTCTAACAATGATTGATTGATGATTTCAAATGTGTAAAAACACAAACCCCCAAACCTCTGCCCCAAAATGTCACTTTGACAACATTCGGTTTGTTACAACACATTCAACACATCAATTAGCGTTTACGCTAGATACTGTGGATCTATTGGCTAGACAGCTTTCAGTAACAACATATTGTATGAGAGAACAAATAAGATTTCAACTGAGCAAGAATTTAGTAAAACGCGCTGTAGGTGGATAGTATACACATCGAGGAAAGTATTCATTTGTGTCACAAGACAAGCCCTTATTCTGAACCTTCAAAGCCAATGGAAGAAAGAAAGACCGAAGATCACATTACAATGAGAATTGGAGACACATATGAGATGAATGAACGACGATTGGATAGAACTATAAACAGAGGTCTAGGATAGTGTTTGCTGGAGAATGCTAGTCATCAGTCTATGATCCTTTAGGGGCCGACAGGAGTAGGTAACTAAGTACATAAGCAACAGTGATTTTAGCCAGAAATACCGAGTTTGTGATTAAGAAGTCATCAGAATAAAGAAAGAGAGAAATTTGATCGATGCAGAGATTCTATTTATGCACATAGATGTCATCTTTAAGGCCAGAATTATTCTAGGTTAGATTTAAATCAGTTAAACATCGTCCTATTGTATGAGACTCATCAGTAGTGCACACGCCCGATCCCATCACACAGGAATCGAACTGAGGACCTTCGGCCTCGTAAGCGAATGCTTAACTTCTAAACCACCATTGAGCAGGCATCCAACTGTATTATTATCAAACTTTAGTCGATCCTTGATATTATTCAACCTCGCCCGTTGTGTTAAGTAGGTAACTGCCTCCACCTACCACGGCTGAACTCCAACGGTCATTACTTCTCTGCAGAACTCCAAGAATTTCGCTCACAAAGTTAGTCATTAGTGAGCACATTTTAATGAAAAATCATTTATACGAATATCAGAAATACATCTCATTTCGTATTTCCATATGGTGATCATATTACTTACTCACGCCTGTTACCCTCAATGGAGCATAGGCCGCCCACCAGTTTTCTCCAACCAACTCTGTCATGGGCTTTCCTCTCCAATTATGTCCAATGTTTGTTCATTCCTCGCATATATCTTTCTCTATTTCTCGGTGTAATGTGTTCTTTGGCCTTCCTCTTTTCCTTTTCCCTCACTTGAGGGTTCCATGTGAGGGCTTGTCTTGTGACGCAGTTTGGTGCTTTACGTAGTGTGTGTCCTATCCACTTGCACCGCTTCTTCCTGATTTCCTCCTCCACTGTAGGAATCTGGTTTGTTCTCTCCCACAGTACGTTGCTGCTAATGCTGTCTGGACAACGATAATATGGACAGAGTGTTAATTTCATTCCTAATCAGTTCAGAATAGAGATTAGTAAGGAATGTATCTAACCAAATAAAAATTTGGCATAAGTATTAACTTAACTGTCCGATAAAGATATATTTGACTGACAAGTTCCAAATAGGATAAAACTTTAGTCCTAAAAATTTCACTAGCACCCTAGGAAAATTAAAAAAAATACTCATTCAGCTTATTATGTACTTTAATGTTTGTACTCTATCAATCATCCATAGATTGATTGATTTTGAATAAACCAATAAAATCAAACAAAACATTTAGTAATACAATTTTAGCCAATAGAAATTCCAGTTCAATTTGCGTAGGTGTATCCGATTTTTTTTACTTTAGATTCAATATGATTGGTGAATTAAAATTTCAACCAATCAGCTTATTTGATTTAAAACATACGAATCAAATAAAAAAAACTAAGAAAGATGATTGGAATACACGTGTGTGAATTATTGATCTGAGTGAGACTATTCATCTTTTTGATTTTATTGTAACATTGAATGATTATTATTATTCGGTTGTTTCAAAAACAGAAAATTGAACTTTGAACAATTGAAATGTAATGAATTTGGATTTATTTCGTTTATTGTTATAAATGACTATTATTAATATGAAACATTTGAACGGAAATAATCAACGTGCTTTTTCTTTACCACCAGAAAATAATAATAATAATAATAATAATAATAATAATAATAAAATGACATATGAAAATGTCAATGGTAAAATACCAATGAAAAATATTTATTCACATAATTATTCATTTGATTTCAATGATCATAAACAAGAACCAATTGATAGTGAGTTAATGTTACAAGAGACATTTAATAATTTCGATATGATTACAAGACAATTTATGGGATTATCACCAAGTTCAACTAGTTTAAATACAGATGAAGATAGTGGTTATGTAAGAACATCATTATTTGGTCATGGCGGTAAATTAACTGATTCCATTTGTTCAATTTTCAATTCTGGTCATACTGTTTCAGAGGATGATTCAAATGGTATAAATTGCACTAGTCATAAAGATGAATTATTATTTGTTATGATAGAAGATTTAGTTGATTGGTTTAAAAAAATGTATCCTAATTTAGTTGAGATAGATTTGAATTCAGAGAATTTTTTTGATCGTCTATCGGATGGTATACTACTATGTTATCATGCTACTGAATTACATAATCGTCTAGCTATACAATCAGGTAATCCAGTGAAAAATAATAAACCAATCAAGCTGAACGACGGTTTACGTATTAGCGGTGTACAAGTTCTATTGCCTACCACTAGTCCAAGTTATCAAACACGTGGTTTAAATTATTCATCCAATGCTACAGTGAGTTTTATATCACGTGATAATGTGGCGAATTTTATTCAATGGTGTCGACAACTCGGTATGCCAAATTCCACATTATTTGAAAGTGAAGATTTAGTTTGTCGAAAAAATCCACGTAATGTTATTGTATGTCTGTTAGAATTAGCACGTCTTGGTGGTCATATTGGTATGTGTATACCGGAAATTGTACAGTTGGAAGTAGAAATTGATGAACAACTGGCTAGAGAGAATTTATTCTCATCTGAATGGAATAAACTGGAAAAAAAGCCTACAGATTCTTATACAATCCAATCAAATGAAGATGTTTCGATGGGTGAGAAACCTGAACAAAACTTACAAAATCATGAATTATCCATCACAAATGGGAATAATAGTTATAATAATAGTAATAATAACAATCAGTCATCGAATTATCGATCCAATCGTTCCATTGAATTCCATAGACAACAGCAACAACGCCAACAAGAACAACAACAGAATCGAAAGTTGTCGAATTATAAAACTAAACCGAATTCATTCGATTGTCATGAGAAATTTTTAAAAGATGCGCAAATTGACAAAAAGTTAAAACAACCACAACAACAACAATCAGTGGAAGAAATTCAACGTCCAAAAGTTGATTTTCAATCTTTAGATGAATTGGTAAGTTGTAATGATGTTTTCATACATTTTGATATAATAATAATAATATTAATTATTATTATTGTATTTAAACATAATAATTGGTACAATAGTCAGTCAGTCAGTCAGTCAGTTGCAACGTAAGAACTTCGTACGTATGTGTACATAAGTTCATGTTGTCATACCACATTATTAGCACAGAGGCGCGAATGTCAAATCAAATCCCATAGTGATAGTAGAGATACTAGAGGTATTAATGGTAATAAAGGACACTAGGGTTTGAAGATATTATTATTCAAGAAGTAAAATTCAGTGAGATAAGGTTAGAAAGACAAAGGTAGAGGTGCTGATGAATCCAGAAGATTAGGATTTGAGAGAGCACAACGAATGGATGCAGTTGTGCCATTGCAAATGATTTTGAGCCATGTCGTTCAAGGTCTGTAACCATTGGTGACTTTCGTCTCGTGGACCCCAACCAGGTAGTCTACATTTACCGACATGACTTAGTTCACTTGTCAGTGACTTCATGGATTTCTGCCATGTTTTGGTCTGGCCGCCCCTAGCTTTCTTCCAATCTACTCCTACACCACAAAACATAGCTCGTCGCGGCAGTCGGTGTTTGGCCATACGTAACATATGTCCCAACCACCTCAACTGATGAAGTTTCACTACTTCATCTATTGATCTGCCATCGTTACCTAGTACTTGTTTCCTAACGATAGCATTGCTTACTCGGTTGTCCCATGATACACGAGCAATGCTTCGGAGACATCGATGATCGAAAACTAGTAACCTACGAACATCTTCTACTCTTAACGGCCATGTTTCACAGCCATATAGGAGAACGGAACGAACTGCTGCACAGTACACCCGTCCTTTGGTTAGCGAACGGATATCACGCCTACGCCATAAGTGACGCAGGTTGGCAAAAGCCAATCTAGCCTTCTGTATCCGAGCTGAGATTTCGTCAGTCACCAGGCTATCAGCGCTGATGATACTCCCTAGATAAGTGAAGTGATCAACACGTTTGACTACTTCACTCCCTATCACTAGTTTAGGTGCCTATGCAACCCAGTCTTGAAGCAACATTTTGCATTTGGAGGGGGAAAACCGCATCCTGAACATGCTCGCACAATAGTGAACTGATGTAGTTATGCGCTACACAAATTATTGAATGTATATATGAGTGTGATAAAATACTGTTTGAGTGCTCAAACTGAAAACAGATGGTTTGGTCAAGTGGCCACTCCTTTTGTTTTTGACCTACTTGTATAATCCACAAGTTAGTGTGTTACGCATGCACATCAACACGTCATTTTGATATGCTTGAACTATGATGAGTTTACTTTAGTCAGTAAACGAGAGCGAGGATCGAGGATGCGGCGACATGATATGCTACTCTAATCCGATTGTCCCAACTCCCCCCCCCCGGTTTGAGTAGAAGAAGACTTGATATGAAGTAGAACCTGTAAGTAGGGGTTCCGAGTCCAGAAGAGAATCAGGATCTCGGACTAGGGATCCGGATCTGGGTCCAAAAACGTTACATATAAGGCGTATATATACATTAAGGCCGAATACGAGACAACATTTGAAGTGACATTGATAACTAGGACCACTATAATATTAACCAGTAAGAATACGACCAATAGGATTAGATTTACGAAAATGATTCTTCGTAGGATATTTGGTGAATATCCTCCTAACACAATGGAACAATGTTAGAAAATGTAGTTACATGGTAACAGGTGATCAACGATGTATGTTGAATCCTATGTGTACCAGTGGATTGGAATGAGAGTTTTCTAACAATCCCTTCAACTGGATCATACGTAACCACCAACTAACGTGGTTAAAAGTTTTCTGGATATTGACTTTTTATCTTTACAATTTATTAAACAATATCCTGTCCTCAGAAAGTAATGTGTAGAACTTCCCTAGAAGTGGCTATACACGCGTGGCCATAGGAGATCGTTTGGCGAAAGAGACTGGACTCTGCCTACTTTGGACATTTGTAGATTGTGGTTCAACTGAATACATTTTGATGTATACCAGATGAAATATTCACTTGGGTTTATAATTTTGTAGAAAAAACTGCTCGTTTATTTTACAAAATATGTACACATTATCCTCAGACATTCATCTACAATACAAGCATTCTATAGACTGTCCGTTTTCATCATCATGAATAGACAATAGACGACGAATCATCAAAGTATGGGAGAAAGTTTTTATATTAGATAACGATACTACTAGGTTTTACTTTACTTACTTATGCCTGTTACCCCCAACGGAGCATAGACCGCCCACCAGCAGCATTCTCCAACCAACTCTGTCCTGGGCTTCCCTTTCCAGTTCTGTCCAATGTTTGTTCATTCCTCTCATATCTTTCTCTATTTCTCGGTGTAATGTGTTCTTTGGCCTTCCTCTTTTCCTTTTCCCTCACTTGAGGGTTCCATGTGAGGGCTTGTCGCGTGACGCAGTTTGGTGCTTTACGTAGTGTGTGTCATACTACTAGTGTAGTGAACGAGAGCACAGTTGGGGGGCAACCGAATTGTATTTAACGAAAATTACAGAGTTACTCAGTAAAATCGGAAAAACCATATCGTAAATCGTTCATTTGCAAAATAACAGTTCATCATATCGAACTGGACTGTTCCTGTTGCAAAACATCCATCCATTGTCACTATTCATGCGTTCCATACAAATTCCATTGTTTTCTAACTCTTCCTTTCTTGATCTTCCCCCATCTTCTGCTGCCAGACATTACGTTGACACTCACGTCATATACTACTTATAAGTAGCTCGCCCCATAGCACCACACTAGGTTAGCCAATCAAAATTCACCAAATGAGAAGGATGTATGGATATCAGTTGGCCAGAAAATCAATTCATTCATGTACATAATTCAGTAGCTAAAAAAATAAAGACTGTCTCATTCACTCAAATAGTCAGTTCCTTAGCATGTGTATCACATTTGAAATCTTGAAAACAATACTGCACCCCCACCCCGCATATCAATAACAAACATATGGTCAAATGACGAAAAGATTTTATCGATTATCGATTGCTTGACTGATTGATTGAACGTGTTACAAAGAAAAGGACAAAGTATGAGTCATTCTTTGTTCGTTCGTTCTTTGTTTGTTTATTCAGTATCGCGTGTATGACCGACCAATGGTACGATATGATTTTGCATTGATACGTGACAGCTGACCTAGAGAGTCGGTATATAATTGTAAACATTGATATATATATATATATATATATATATATATATATACGTTTTAGTAGAAAGCTGTAAAGTATACTGACTTACAAATTTAGTATTTAAGCATGACTATCTCTGATATTCTGAAATAATAATTATCTATCTATAAATGAACAAGGTTTTCGTTTTTTTAGAAAAAATTCTCTTCTCTTCGATTCTAAAATAATTCTGTTTGTTGATTTGATGTAGGTTTGAAAAAGGTCTAGAGGTTAAGTGTGTTCGTGCGTGCATGATGTTATGCTCGTCACTAGGTATGCTTGAAACTAATTACGGGTGTTCAGTTTAGTCGATAAATGAGAATGAGACAATGAATTAGTGTCCGGGAAGGTTATTCTGATCCGTTGACTAACGAAGAAGTCTTGATATAGGGTAGAAAGTGTATTCTTAAGAAACGTCCTTGGGAGAGTAATAAAAACCAATCACAGTCGAGGATTTTCCTGGTGGGAAATGTAATCTCAAGGTCAACTGATCAACACATGAATAAAATCCAAAATAAAGACATTTATCAAGCGAGTTTTGAGGATCTAACATCCCCAACACATGACCGAAGGTTCTGGGTTTGATTCTTACGAATAGAGGGTGGTAAATGTATACAACTGATGAGTTTTATACTAGGACGTAACAGTTATCTAGTTCCTGCAGATTCCTGATGGTAGTGTATTCCTGATCAGTTTATGACTTCAATGAAATTTTATATTTTTCATTATGGAGATGTTATTTATTACTGAAATTATGAATCAGTCATTGTTAGACCACTATTAGAAGCCTGAAAGCATTGAAAGACGGCCGTTTCGTCCTAGTATGGGACTCATCAGCAGTTGCGCATCCATGACTCCTGTTACTCGCTTAACGCTTAACCTCCAGACCACTGAGCTGGCCGGCATTCAACTGTATTAATGTCTAACTCTGATCAAGTAGGGGGATTTTGCGCAACCTCACCTGCCTACACTGGATAGCTTTGTGCTCTACTAGTCATGGCTTCTCACTAGAACTCGGAGAATTTTCGCATGAAACTAGTTGTTAGTGAGCGCATTGTACAACTTTTTCATTAGAGAGTTATGGCGATTGTTGTTTATTACTGAAATTATGAATCATTCTTAAGAAAAATAGGGTTAGTTCGTTTCAAATTATGCCCTAAGAGAATAAAATAAAATTAACAAAGAACATTAAGCTGTGAATTGTGTTTTCTGTGCATTCAATGGGTACACTGAGGTTAAAAGATGAACTACCCCGAAATGTCCACTTCATTTTGGATTGATCATTTCAACTGCTTCTGTGGAACAAATTGTAAAAAGGTCAGAAATTCTAGAAATTTACATTTTTGTGCCTAGTAAACACCTGAACATCAGTATGACTTAGCAAATGAGACAGGGAAAGATTGTGAACAGATCGGATTAGAAATCCATTCATCGCCTTCCATCAGCTAGACCAACTTCAGGACCGATAATTAACATATACTAGTTATCTTACACCTATAGAATGACCCAATTTATATGACGATGGTTGAGGCAGAGCGATTGTTAGACTTGGTTATAATATCATTTGATACAGTGAATTTTCTACAGAACAAAATAACATTCCATAGCACTGATCACTTCCTTTTGATTTCATTCTACTGTGTTAGTGAATGTTGATTGTGTCAGATTGCAGATTGGTGACGTTAACAGCTGAACATTTCTACAATAATAAGACGTGACCAATAAAGTTCAACCCTGTCAAGTGTAGGCAGTAACTACCAAAGACAAATGAGTGA